TTGTATGTAAATAATCTGTCGGAAATGTTACCACCCAAAGTCAACTCGCATCAATATATAGACGATACCACCATCTATAAACATTGCAAACCAACAGAGCTGGAGCATGGACAATTGGAAATGCAAGTTGCACTTGACAGGTTATCTACTTGGTCTTCGCAATGAAATCTAGCGCCCAGCCCGAAAAAGACGAAGGCTATGCTTTTTTCAACCCCCAGTTGGCACGGTGGAATGCCTTGATGAAATTCAGCTCAATTCAAGCATAGACGGAAAAGAAATCGAGCGAGTTTCAACCTTTCGTTTGTTTGGGCCACAATTTCATCATAATCTGAAATTAGAATGATTAAATAAACGACTATCAACCTGTTATCGGACGTTGTTGCCTTGTTGGTTGTTAGAAACCTGGAACATCTTGCCCCTTTCGACGTGAGAAAACATTAGCAGAGTGTCTTATTATGTCAAGAATAGACTATAATGACGTTGTCTGCCATCCACTTCCAGATTTTACATTATGTACATACAGTTCTGTCTACTATACACTGACCTATTTTGGTGGAACACAGGTCTGGGTGGAGCATATATGATCGATAGAATATAAATAATTAGCTAGCGTCATTTGAATTATTCAAAATTGTCAGTGTATTTGAAGTTGACAACCTTGTTTCGCATATATAAACCACCACAAATTAATGTGATTTAGGACTGACTTGTGTAATAGGCAACTTGCACTAAGAGGTTACGTGATCCAATCCTTATAAAATAAAAGGTTAAGAATTTATAAGTTATAAAATGGATACAAAGCTAGTGATGTTTCAAGTACACTTCGAAATTTTGGCGTTTTAGAGAAAATGAAAATAGATTTGCTTCAAAAGCAAATTTCTATATGTAAGTCTCAAGAAACATGTAATACGACGCAGCGAACGAACGTAACCCGGCTGTCCTGCCGCCATTTTGGCTGACTTGAATTTGTTATCGTCTGTGTTCTCATGTTCCCTTTGAAATTTTCTTTGTTCTCTTACTCCCCTCAAACCGTCAAATACTGTGATATATACCGTTTTGGCATCGCTGAGACTCTATGATCAAGAATTATGTCGAGGTATAGTTCTCTGTTATCAAACATATGGTAAAGTCATCCGATGAAGGAAAAGGCAAAGACTCATCCTTTGCGTGCGGAACAATTTGAATATTTAAATTATACACAAGACACAATACAGTATTGTATAATATGCGTATACATACAATTATTTCATATTTATTACAGTATACACCAGGCACATTATAAATATTATAAAGAGCTTTCATTCCAGTAGTTTTGTAGCTTGATCTATCCTAAATTTTATTTTGTCAACCGTTTGTGACCTCTTTCTTGAGCTTTTAGTATAAAACATTGCGTTTGAAGAACATTTTGTACAATCAGAAAACCTTCATACTAGTCACATCACCATGCAGTTAGCATGCATATTGCCAATTTCTCTTAATTAATCGATTTCTCTTAATAAATTTTCTGATTCAATTACTTAGTTATAGTTAATAAATATCGGGTGAATCCTTGTTATATTAATGTTTCGTAACTGACAGGGATTTAGCCTCCCAACGATCTGAGAAAATTTGTCTCGTAGATAATTTTATGTATAAACATAATTTTTATCATAGGACATAGCACGAAGCAAGAATACTATGATGGTTCTTACGACCAAGCTACCTCCTACCTTAGTTTCAATAAATTGTTCAAAATAAAAAAGGATGTTTACCTGAATACTAGCTGCTCTTACCTGTTTGATAACGCACGAAATGGTTTTAAACGCTTCTTCACGTTTGATGATACTTTTCATGAAGCATTTAAGGAATGGGAACCACAGGAGTAGTTTTCGTGAAAATGACTTTGCAGTCCCATTTACACCAGCGAATAAATCGGTGAATGCACGGGATATTATGGTATCACCTGCTTCGATGGTGTTAAACTCATAACCAAATACACATTCGCCTAACGCATCCAAAGACATGCGATTCAAATCGTTTTGCACAAACAAATGGCATTCTTTTTTAGCGTTGGTCTTTGACTTCGCACTGATAATGCCGTTCCAGTACTGAAAAATAAATATATTATATATATATAAAACTGAATTCTGAAACACTTCCTGGTTCATTATACGCAACGTGTGTTTGGAAGTTTATAAATGCTTGGAATGTGCTAGCTATTTATAACTTGATTCGTAATATTGTGACTTCGGTAAAGAATCTTTTGACAACATGGAGAAAATACATGTCCAGGCGGGAAAAAATCACCGAAGTATTGTTAAAACTATGACATGGGTGGACAAGTACAATATAGCAACAGTTGCACATAAGTCGCTCCAAATTTCAATTCTCTCTTCAGTTTGTCCAACAACGGAGACATTGAGAAACTGTAAATGTTTTTTAAATCTCATTGTATGTAATTTACACAATTTCTGTTGTTTCTGTAGGAGTCTTATTTCCTGCTATTTTGGTGTTGTGCCTGCATGATGTAAAATATACGCGTATATAGGCGCGAATAGGGTACGTAGTTGTTTACCTTTCTATAAACGTTCTGCTAATGTGTTATTTACCGTTTTAAGTTTTTTTGAAAAAAAAGTCTCAATTTTTGTCAATACCTAAACAAAGTAACGCCGGGCTCCATATAGTTCCCAAAAGACAATGCACTGTAGTTTTTTGTGTTTCACTAACACAATTTGGAAAATGTACTTACCAAAACCTGTGGCTAACTGGCCTAAAATGAGGTTGTGAACTGTGAAGCTATCTAATAGGCAAACGGATACTGGATCCTTCAACTAAACGCATGATATAAAGTTTGTTCGTTCACTGCAACCAGGTATATAAATCATGTTTCGCTCGCTACTCTGGTTTAAATAAATGATTACAAAGCCCAGTCGAATTGTAATCAAGACCCAACGTTTCGACACTCGACGTTTCGAATTTGCCTAGAAGCGTGGCATATAAATATGAGTCATCATGCTTTGAATAGTGATGACGGCGCCTATTTGCCAGAAGAATATATGCATCTTCTTGGCAGGTGACGTCATCCCTGGGGTATTTAAGAAGCCACGATCGCAGTTTTAGATCACCCCTGATGAAGACACTAGACTGGAGTGTCGAAACGTTGGGTCTTGATTACAATTCGACTGGGCTTTGTAATCATTTATTTAAACCAGAGTAGCGAGCGAAACATGATAAACGCATGATATTTATATCCTGCTTAGCTGGTGAGGGTTGGCAGGAGCAATCGAGTCTTGTTAACTCCCACGCCCTACACTTTAAAACGAAACATCTACCCTTTAAACTATCAACTACCAACTACCCTTAAAATCAGCCTTGATCATTATCAACTCAGTGAGTTGATGAAGTCAGTACGCTTAAATTTACCTTTGCGAGTAATTTAGCCTTATCATCAAAAACCTCAACCATAGTTTTCAAATTATTCACTTTAAATGCGGGATTAACCATTTTCCTCATTCTGGAATGATCTTTTCCATTTGAGAGAAAAACGTTCTTGTGTGGGAAGAATCTAACACTTTGTGGTTCTACTGGTCTGTGATACTTAAATGACTTGGATACCAGGATTTGTTTTATGGCATCAGCGTCACTGATCAAGTAGTATGTTTTGTCTGTAATTTAATTAGAAACATATCAAATATCACATACGCTTTTCAATTTAGCCTGAGGAGCCGGTTCTCGCCCCCCCCCTTAGGAAAGCCCCCCCCCCCCCTCGCTGGCGTCCCTGAGGGAAAGATTCGCCTACAGGAAAACCCGGCTTTCGTCGGTAAAGGTTGTTAAAATTGACCAATAAAAGCTTCCATGGATGAAACTCAATGTGTGAAAAATTCCGGGCGGAAAGAATGCACAGATATAGGGGTGAACACCTTATGTTACATATAGGGGCAGGCATAAAGACCTAATCCCACCGGGCACACGACGTTGTTTCAACGTTGAAATTTGGTAGAAAAAAGGTTGCGATGTCGAGAACCTAATATCTACGTTGCTCTGACGTTGTTTTACAAACATTGGTTCAACAGCAGCCAACAGACGTTGAATTAACGTTCATTCATGGTTAAATGTACGACGTCGATTTGTGAACCAATCTCAACGTTGCTTTAACGTGAATTCAACGTTGAATTATGGTTGACGAGATTGGCAACCTAATTTCAACGTTGTTTCAACGTCGAAACAGTAACGTCGATCCAATTTGCATAGTCAACCCTTTTTCAACGTCTATCCAACGTCTGGAAGGTCATTTCCAACGTTGATTCAACGTTGGATAAACGTCATTTTGCCCGCTGGGATGTTACAAATAGGGGCAGGTGTGAAAACCTCATCTTTTACTGATATAGGGGTGAATATCTCATGTTACAAATAGGAGCAGTCGTGAAACCATGTTACAAATAGGAGCAGTCGTGAAACCTTATCTTTTACTGATATAGGGGTGAACACCTTATCTTACATATAGAGGCAGGCGTGAAAACCTTATGTTACAAATAGAAGTAGGCATGAAAACCTTATCTTACACAGATATAATGGTGGAACACCTTATGTTACAAATAGGGACAGGCGTGAATTA